CAATACATGGGGGGAGGGGGGTTGTTACTTTGTGAGGGTGAAAAGGATAACTATTGCATTGTTCTGTACACCTGAAACTAACAATAAAAAAAAAAAAGAAAACTGCAATTTAAGCAAATGTACCAGAGTTTCCTAACTATAACTAATTTATAATAAATTGGTAATTTGACCAAAGTTTTAAATGCATACAAAATAATAAATACCCTGAATTTTATTCTGAACATAAGTAGAATAAAACAAAGAGGTTTTTACATACTGTACTCCACAAACAATATAAAGCTGACTCAATTGTTCAGCCTCAGTTTGAGAGCACAATTGGGCAATTGTATCTGAAAGTAGCCACTAACAGAGACAATAAATTGCACCTGGGGAAAAAATAAAATAATGGGGTCTCTTTAGGGTTTTAACATAATATAAACCTACTTATTAAGTAATCATTTTTATGTTAAAATATTTTCCAGAAGGCAACAACAAATATAATATTTTTATCAATTGCCCGAATGACATGAATCATATTTGAAAAATTCACAATTGTCTAAAACAGGGGTTGGCAAACTGCGGCTCACGAGTCACATGCGGCTCTTTGGGTGCGTTCTGTCTTAAAAGTTTCCCTACCCCTGGTCTAAAATAATGACTTGGTCCTCCACCTAATAAGAGTAAACCTTTCATATGAAGATCTTTGAACACTTAATCCTTGATACAATAAAAATCAATAATGAGGAAACAAATGTTATTTGTTTTTTTTTCTTTTAAGGTGCTTCCTTTTGTGAGTGGGAATTCAGAAGTTTTCACACTATCTTTTAGTGTATGCTGTGGGGCAGATGTCCCATGCTACAGATGAGATTCAAGAGACAGATATTGATTGCTATGGTTCAGTTAGGGGCACAAGCAGGGCTGCTGCCACAGCAAACATGGCTCTATTCAACCAGCTTTTAGGAGTTCATAACCTGTGAGAGCCTTCCCACTCTGCCTGGCTTAGAATTCTCTGATATGAGAGTCATTAACAATCAAGGAACAAAAGTAGATCATTCTCTCCCAATTTGTGTTTCTACAATGGTTTATCAAATTAACCAGTGGACTGCTTTGGTCCAGAGGAGAATGTAAAGCTGACAGGAATATTTCACTTAGGGGAGGGCTGAGCAGTAACTTGGGGGTTAAGGGGCGTAGGTCATGCCTAGATCAAGGAGAACATGGTGGAGCCTGACGCCATGATTAAAACCTGTTAGAATCTGTATTTAAAGATCTGACTGCTCACCTCTCAAAGGTCATATAAACATATGGCACTTTTTCTAAGGCTAGAGAGTGAACCAATGACAATCAGTGTGCATTAATCAGCATCTCCAGTCACACACAGGGCAATTCTAATTGTAACAGAGGAAACATTGACATTAGTAACTATTCCTGACCTCTTTATCTGGCTTTAAAAAATGATTGTGGTAAAGAAACAGTCTTGAAGGCTCTAGATATTAATTTTAAAATTTGTGTTGGTCATAAACAAGGATCATTTCTTATGGAAGGCTGATTTATACGTAACTGTAGATCAATAGTCATATAAAATGCAACCTTTCATAATGGAAATCAATGCTGTATTATGCCTGTTGAGAAACTATAACAAATTTTAGCTCAGTAGATGTAGATATATCTTATCATCCACAATCAGAGTTTGGCAGCCCAAGTTAAGAGTCACATAATGAATCATTTAGTCTAACAAGTCAGTTTTCACAGAGAATTATAAATGCATATATGCTTTCTATGCCACATAACACAACTGTGGTTTATGTGAAATAGTATTATATCAACAGATATAAAAGGCACTGAGAAAGAAACAGGCCTGGTTAAAGACTCTTAGAACACGCAATCACCAAATGCCCTACTGAGCTCAGTGACTCCTTCCCAGCCATCTTCTTCCAGCACCTTGTAAAGCAGTATTTTTATTTCACATGATAAAAAACATGAAAGAGAATTTTCTTATATTGCCCTTTACTAATTTAAGTTGAAAAGCTAATGACCAGAAAGGTCATTTCCAGTATTTTCCATAGTTTGGAGATCGCTAGTACATATGCAGAAGGTACTGTTAAACACATTCAGGACTTGCAAACTTCATCTTGTGGTCTGTGAAATGGAACCATATGATTAGCCAAGTTTTCTTGTGACAAGGTCCATTTACAGACCATTATCCTGGCTTCTTACTTCTTGATGGGATCCAATAGACTTATGCTGAATTCTATTCTAAAGAAAATCACGGTATCCTTCCTATTTATATCAGTAACATGAAAAAGTCTATGTGGCACATGAAAGGTAGAGAAAATGACACTGGATATAAGACATGAGTAACTAGACCCAAAACCCCTCTTAGCCAAAAGAGGTTCTTTCAAATGAGCTCTCACAGACACTCATCTGATGACCATGCTCAAGTAACAATTTGTTCTCTACTAGTAAATGGTAGGGATATATTTTAATAAGGAGAAATATAGTCAGTTCCCAAAATAAAAATCAGGGTTAGGATACTAGTAACATTCTTGCAACATGAATTAGACACCTACCAAGTGCCAGCACTGAACAAACCATTATACATATTATACATTTATACTTTTATGAATTCAGTGAGTAGCCCTGATGCCACAAAGCTTCTGAGGTCATGAACAGAAACCCAGACTGCCTAAAAGGTGCATAAAGGGTAGGGAATAGACTTCTGATTGACTTAGGAAGGATGTACAAAAATCATGGTTTCTATGTGCCAACTACTCTGCAAACAATTAAGTCTTTTTCTCTTGCCCCATCTTTACAGACATTTAAGACACATCCTTGGAGAGGTGACTCTCAAACTTGAGGAAGCAGAGTTCCCTTAAGGACTCATTAAAACCCAGATGGCTAGCTAGGTCCCACTCTCCAATTCCCAATTTAGTGGGTCCTAGATAAACCTGAGAAGCGTGTTTTTAACAAGCTCCCAGGTTTTACTGATACTGCTGGTGCAGGTACCATACTTGTAGACCGGGAATCTATATCTTCTAGATTGGGAGCCTATAACACTGACCTTGGAAATTTACAAACCCATCTGGGGTTTGGACCTGCCAAGGACATCGCTCCAGGTGGTGACTATACGGGGTTATACAAGGTCTGACAATTAAGATCATGAACTTGTTTCAACGATGTTGCTAACCTTTTTTGACTTCAGAGGGATTATTCATTATAAGTTTGTACCAACTGGACAAACAGTTAACCAAGTTTACTATTTGCAAGTGCTGAAAAGGCTGCGTGATAAAGTTAGATGACCTTAACTATTTGCCAACAACTCATGGCTCTTGCATCATGACAATGCACCACCAGCTCACACAGCACTGTCTGTGAGGGAGTTTTTAGCCAGTAAATAAATAACTGTATTGGAACACCCTCCCTACTCACCTGATCTGGCCCCCAATGACTTCTTTCTTTACCCAAAGATAAATGAAATATTGAAAGGAAGACATTTTGATGACATTCAGGACATCAAGGGTAATACGATGACAGCTCTGATGACCATTCCAGGAAAAGAGTTCCAAAATTGCTTTGAAGGGTGGACTAGGTGCTGGCATCCATGAATAGCTTCCCAAAGGGAGTACTTCGAAGGTGACCATAGTGATATTCAGCAATGAGGTATGTAGCACTTTTTCTAGGATGTGTTTGTGAACTTAATTGTCTGACCTCATATGCTGGGTTGTTCTCCAAGGTATGCTAATATAACATACCAGACAAAGGCTACCCCTGTTCCCTCCCGCCAAGTAAGACCTTAAAACGTTGCTACAAGCAGGGATTGAAAGGGTATATGTTTCAAAGGAAAGTAAACAATTAGAAACAAATACATTTACAAAGAAATAGATGATGAAGTCCATAAAAAAATTAAACCGATGACTACAAGTGTCTACCCTAGTGCTGATTGTGTGGACTAGTGTTTTGCAACTCTGTGACCCTTTTCACAGAAGCATCTGGGAACAAGAACGGCCACCCCACCATAACAGCAGTTTCAGGACTGTAATACCTGACTTGCTTTTCATCGCTGCCACTCATAGGTGAGAGTCTCAGAAGCTGATGAAGGACAGCTGCTTTGCAGTCTTCAAGGTCTTTTTTCAGAATGTCACTATGATTATAGAGCCTATAAAATAAAACAGGTGCTGCATGAGATGTTTATTTAAGCACAGACGGTCAGCTTCTAGAATCTATGGTGGTTCTTCGTGGTTTATTGAAATATATCGGTAATATAATCTAAACATAAAATGCAGCAACTAGACGGTCTCTTGACAAAGATGTAAAATGGGGCAGCTTGGAAAACTTGTTTGTATGTGGCAGTTTTAAATCCATCAGAGGAAATCACTTTAACCCTTTGAAGACGAATGTTCAAATCCACAGCTGTGCAATTTCATTCCACCTGATTGATAGGAATGTTAGATAATCTTAACAGCAGAAAAGGCTAATTTTATATTGTCAATCATAATAAAGTTAGATCTCCACAACTTATGAAATTTACTTAAATTGTCACTGCTAAGAAATTGGAAACTGCTGGCTGAAGTATATATAGGCTACATTCTCTATTTCCGAATGCAGAAAAATGACTATTATTTCTCCATTTAGATCCCACTGCAATAAGATTTTCTTTATTCTTACTAAGAACAGGAAGGCATGGAAAGAGGGATTTGGCTTTCATTATCTATTACCAGTGTACTGAGGGTTGTAGAGTCTAACAATTTGACCTGTGTTTTAAGTTAGGCTTATTATGGTATCATAGTAGCCTCCAAAGAGATTGGTTACTAACATTCTTTAAAAAAAAAAGTCTATTTTGGGGAAAGAATTATTCTAAAAAGCGATGGGAGAAAATAGCAAAGACAAAACAGTATTGTAGTATATCTTTTAAGGAGTTGATCACATATGTAGTTGGGAATATTCAACACATACCCTAAAAAAGAAAATGAAACAACTTATAAAGCAATATGTTAATTAGCAAGGCATTACTAATTTGTACTGCAGTTGGTTAAGTTACTGGATCTCTTTGATGGCCATGTGCCTGATATCACAAGGATGAAAAACACATGCTCGGTCTACTGGAAGGTGGGTGACAAGTGCAGGCTCGGGCCCACCCCCATTCTGAAACAAGCTTTCCCTCCTCCCCCAATTCAAGCCCTGTTCTGGACTTTGGTCCACCTTGTCAGTGCTCCAGCTCCTTACTAAGTCCTAAGCTCTTGTTTAAACTATAAGCCTGGGTTCTTAGTTGCTGTGGGTCAGACTCTGTGTTGGGTCCTTCCTTCATTCCTGAGCTCTGCTGCCCCAAACCTTCCAGACTCCTGTCCTATGTTGCTTATGGAACCTGTGAATACTTCTTTTTTTTATTGTGAAATAAACATTTTTTAAAAATTAGTTTCAGCTGTACAACACAGTGCACTAGTTATACTTTTTATCCCTCAAAGTGACAATCCCCCTCCCCCAATCCGCTGCCCCACTTCCCCCCAATATCATACATATCTATTACAAATCCCTTGACTCCACTCCCACACTATACTTCACGTCCTGTGACTGTGTATATATATATATATATATATATATATATATATATTCACTTATAGTTGACATACAATATTATACAACATCAGCTTCAGGTGCACAGTGCAGTGATCGAATACTTCTTTTTCTTAGACAAAATCTGGGTCCTAATTCTTTCTGGAAGGCTTTATCTTGTCACCACTCAATTCACAGAACAATAGCCTGTCCTTAAGAAGAGAAAGATAAGCCCACCTGAGGTGAGCCAGTTTCAGAGCAGTAAAGGAGAGCACATAATCAATGAAAGACAATCAGGAATTGTGAGGGGGCAGAGAGACAGAGAGCTCCCTGGCATCACAGGGGCTTGACTAAGGCAGAGCAGAGGAATTTGAGCAGGCAGGATTTAGTGGCTGGCAGCTGGTGTGAGCTGCCAAGAGCTGCCGTGAGCGGCCATCCAATGGCCAGCGAGCAACTGCCTCACCCAGGAAGAGCGCAATGATAATACCAACGTGGGCCAGTGAAGCGACGTCCTCCACAACTAGACTGAAGAATAAAAGGACAGCAACTTGTCTATTCCCCTTCCCTGATTCCCCAATTAAAAAAAAATTCTTAAAAACAGTAAATAAATAAAAATCAGAGCTCTCAGACGGTTCATCGCTCAGGCCTCAACTGATGAGCTGACAGCCACATCTGCACTTGTCCCAGAGGGAGCGCTTGGAGCCTCGCCTCCTGACAGTCTCGCCAGCCCTGCCTGACTCCCAACGTTACGCACCCCAGCACCAAAGGCACTCATGCTGAACATCGGACTCTCTCATCCTTTCATACGACTCCGTTCGCCTTACCTAACCCTATTGCTTGCATACCTGTGTGATTCACTCATGTGAAACCGTTCTACCTCGACTATTGGAGACTATCCTTTGACCAGGGCCTTAGTTAATGCCTGTGGTAAACTGAGTCAGTAGGACTAGATCCATGGTTTTATTCTAATAAAGTCTGACATTGTGGAAAGACAAAAATGTGTGTGAGACTGCTACCCTGATAGCCACATCCCACTCATGTCAACTGTCTACACCAAGTTTATGGTCTACTCTAGATATGCTCAGAACTTGTCTGTCTAAGATAAGTTGATCTGTGCTGAGGATTTCTAACAGTTACCTTCCCACATGATATAAGACTTAAGTTTGCAAAATATCCATCAATCCTTTGCTGAAAATAACTCCATTAAAGAATTTACATATTGTACACAGCTAAAGATTACACACTATGTGTTATAAAAACACTATTTTAAAATTCAAGGCCCCAATTTCTTTCACGTCTACTATTTGCATTTCTGCCAAAATAATTCCAGCTGGGGAGCATCAGTCTTTTCCATGCCATCTTTTCCTGAGGAGTGTGTACACTGGCCTGGCACCAACACGCTGGACCCTACCATCAGTTTGTTCTCTGTGAAGTCCAGCCAAGTGGACAAACCTGATGGATGACAAGTAATCACTAGAAACACAAATGACAATTTAAAGGTATCCTTAATTTTTTACCCAATAACAGTTAAAAGTATATAATAAATACATTTTGGGGGGCTAAATTTAAAGTAATTGCTTTTTAGCTTCATTTTCATCTTTCAGTCACACAGAATTCAGGAGATAACTTAAAAGAAAACAACTCTTCTCCGGGCTAATGTGAACACTCAAATTGGGGTACAATTTTTTAAAAAGTGAGTTAGAAAAGTTATGTTTTTTTCTTTCCGTATAACAAATTGAAGATTACTTCTTGGCAAAAATAACCCTGTATGAGGGCTATAGAAAATAAACTTTTCCTTAACTCTATAACCTTCACACATTGCTGTGGGTGTTATCTTTTGGGAGACTTAAAATTTATGGGTTTCAGTTATAGCACTATAGGCTGAGTTTGCAGTTTTTATTTTCTCTAGGGGACAACAGTCTCAAAATGGTGTCATAATCAATGACCACAAATAGTAACATGTTTGCTTCCATAATTTACGTAATATACTGTTACTTTTTAAAAGTTTTATAAAATATATTTACTGTATTTTTTCTTTTAAAGATTTTTTTAATTGGGGAATTGGGGGGATGGGAACAGAGCTGGGGAATTGGGGGAAGGGGAACAGACAAGTTGCTGTCGTTTTGTTCTTCAGTCTAGTTGTGGAGGACGTTGCTTCACTGGCCCAAGTTG